TATATATTATATATATATATATATATATATATATATATATATATATATAAATCCTCATAATGCTATACCCATCCATCGAATCTAAATGAAGGTTGGGATAGCTTCAGTTATAATGTGATCTGAGATTGTTTTATTTTTAGGTTTTTGTATAAATCAATTTGGGAAGCTCCCACTCCTTATGGGGCACACCAAAAAAAATAAAAAATATTTTTATAAAACTAAATACCCAAAATATCCCTACAAGCTGCAAAGGAATTAGGTCAATTTTAATCAAAAAACTTCCAGGTGCCCAAAGAGATGTGGGTAGAGCCCAACTTGAATGTCAAAATGATTTCTAAAATAAAAATTAAAAACAAAATACTATGAATTGTCCAATCAAGATCAAACACACAAAGGCTAACATGTGACATTATGACTAAAGCTATCTCAAAGGTCCATTCAAATCAGAGCCGAGAATAGCAACCACAAGTTTATATATATGGGTTGAGCCACCTGTACAGGCTTCCCACTTCAAAGTACCAAACATAGGGATCCATGCATTCCCAACATAGGAAAGCTCGATGCACCTTCACTTGCCCTTGCAGAAAACCTACATTAACATATTCACGTAGAGGAAATTCATTTGAACGAATGGGATTGTGAAAATCGTCATCCAGCAGCACAAAGGCATATGTTTTCCAGCCAAAACCGATTGATCCCACAAACCCTTCACCTTATCACACATCCCCAGCCTAGTCTGCAACTGAAGCAATGCTTACTCTTGTATCATACAAGATCCATATTTTGGCTTGGGAGCAGGCTTGCCAAAGGGGGTAAACAAATCTAAAAAGCATTGACAAATAAAATGGACATTTCCTTCTGTGCCCCTCTTTCATGACAAACAACTATGGGTTCAACTGCACTTGTAGCAATGGATTTTATATATAATACATCGAAAAAAAAAAAATCTGAAGACCTAGTAAGAGGTCGAAATAAAATATAGACTACTATCAGTGAGGAGCAAAATACATCCTTGCAAGGAAGCTCCCAACAGAAGTCTGATCCCAATTTGTGGAGGCCTAGAAATCTTAAAAATCTGCACAACAGACTAGTATGGAGGGCCTACAATGCAAAAAGAGTAATAAACACTAAAAGACGCATACTGTCTTACCTAGTCTGGCCAAGGATGATGCTACACTGAGCAGCAGCCCACTTTCTTCACTGCAGAAACATCATCCTTGCCACCCATGTTGATGGTCTGGCCTTTCAAGGATGACGCAGCAACAGGATCTTCTCCAACATCAAGGGCTTTCCTGCTTAAAACTCGATATATTTGTGTGAGCACCTCGGTGAAGGCATTCTCAACATTAGTAGATTCCACGCCTGATGTCTCCATGAAATATGTCGACTCTCTCTCTGCAAAGGCCTTGCCTTCCTCGGTGGAGATAGCCATCAGGTGGCGAAGGTCAGCCTTATTCCCCAAGGGCATGATCACGATGTTGGCATCAGTGTGGTCATGCAGCTCCTTGAGCCACATCTCCACGTTCTCAAATGTTATGTGGCGGGTGACATCATAGACCAGCAGTGCACCAACTGCCCGTCGATAGTATGCATTAATGATGGCACGATACCTGTTGGTTGTCATCAGGTGAATGAATCTACCAAACTAAGTTATTTACAACGAAACTATTTCAATGAAATATCATGCTGACTCTTCCAAGACATAACTAGTATATGGAAATGACATTCCATAATAAAAAAAGGCAGTGCATCTGCTAAATTAACAACTTTTAGATGTACATACATATTGAAATGATTGAGATCAAGCACATCATTAGAAAAAATATATATATCCATGTACACGCACATATGCTATGTATACCACAATAATTGTCTCAGTGCAAGTATAGAAATAATACCATATCGGCTTAAAATTTGTAAAGATTCCAGCAAGGACTTAACAAATCACAAAATGTGTGAATTGTGATGGAGCACTGCCAATATGGGAATTGCCATCAGAAGTCTTAACCATTCTCGAATTTAAAGTCACTCCCATAGATAGATTACCAACACAAGACTTAGTGTTGTCACTGAAGAAAGTTGAGGCTCAGACTTGCGCAAGACAACAAAACAAAAACATGCAGAAAATGATGTAATGAATCAAACAAAAGGTGTTTGCATGTGATCAAACATCTCCAAGAACCGCATGTGATCATTCATCTCCAAGAACTCTAGTAGAAACAAGTGCAACATGGAACCTAATATTTGAATTGCTGCATGAAAAGAGGAATGCAACTATACTTGTAATTTTATTTAGGAATTTTCGAAGCCTAGTAAAAAAACAAGTCAAATGGCCTATTGCAATTTATGGCTTGATGCTAGGAAAGCATAATGCATGGACTCATCTGAGTAGGAGTCCACTGAGTCTTTATTTGACCAAGAGACTCATCCAAGACTCTGGCTAGTTGTGGCTCCTGACCGTAAATAAATTAATCAAGCCAACTAAGGCCAAGTTGACTTGTTGAGTCTAGAAGGTACTTTTCCATGTGCACTAGTCTAGGAAACATGTTGAGAGAGAATAGCCAAAAAAGACTAATATGATTTTGGGTAATTTGATAACTCCACTATGGTATGCAGAAGAGTTTATCATTTTCTAAGGCAAAAATGTCACTCCTCTAAACTAATACAATAATATTGTACAAGATTATTGGAACTAAAACACCTTATTTATTTATTTACTTATTTAATCATACTTAGAATACTAATGTCCATCCAACATGTTGCATGTATCATTTTCAACATTTGCATAGATCACCATGGGCTAGCATCTCTCACTATGCTTCCTCAGCCCCTCAAGCATGTAAACAAGTCTAGCAAGAAGCATATTTTGTAAAACTAACAAGAATGAAAACAGACATATGGCATCATTATTTCCTCCATCTTCGATAAAATAAGAGGAGTTCTATCTTGTCAACCCTGATGCATCAACCGTTGGTTTCACAATGCCCACAAGAAAATGTAGACATCGTCCCACTTCTACGACGAATTCCGGTATTGCAAAAGCCAAATACTCATTCCTCTTTTATTTTTTTTTAATAAGTAGACAATAGGATTCAACTTAATAGCCCTTGCTATAGTTCACAAAGAGTAGGATCAATCAACTCCACCCACTTGGATAATGCACCTGATTTTTTATTTTTTAAAAAGAATGTGCTAACTTGGACGTGATTTGTTTAAATCATGGGCATCGTTTTGACCACGGTTTCTTTCAACAAGCAGAAAATAAAGTAAATTATATTAAAAAAAGAAACCAAAGCAGCTATAACTAGTTTGATCAGAAAAAATCAGTTTTGACCAACAACTTGAATTGGTTTTCAGATATCTCTTCCATTATATTTCCAAGTTTCCCAGCTTAAGCCATCCATTTCTTCTCACATAAGATATTAACCTCTTTGTGCCCTCTTAGCTATGCCAAAAAGGTATTTCAATGCCCATTCTACCAAGACAAATTATTATACAAAACAAGAACATACACAGGTTGGTGAGTAGCCATATCTGAACAGAAAAGACTAGATAAAAGTGTGGTGGAAATCAGCAACCAATTCCAAACAGTTGTTAGGTGCAAACTAGCAGGGAGCTACCTCATCTGTAGCACAGACACAAGTGAGCTAAGTATACATGAACCGATATATGCCACCCTTGTAAACATAAAGATGTGCCTATGAGTAAAATTACATAGAAAAATGTCCACTCCAGATCGACATGCATGCATTTCCAGTACAAAAATGCATGCATGCCTAGTTTCTGAAATACAGAAGACCAAAATCCCAGAATTCATGCTAACAAACATACCACCAGGTAGATGTTAGAGAAAATGTGTTTCCAAATATTTGCAAAATAAGGGCCCAATTTTTATTTTATTTATTTTCTTTTTCTGCCTCACTGAAAATGTATTTTTAAAAGGAACTAATATCTTTTATAGAGAAAAAGGGAGAGGCATGTGAAGAGAGGGACAAGTGGCCATCGAAAGGCAACGCATGGCCATTGCCTCTCTATAAGTATCTCTCTCATATTTCCTTTTGTAGCTGTATATAGGAAAGGGTTTTAAGAGGCCAAGGAACCTTTGCAGGAGCTCCCTCTCTCTCTCTAAAGTATCTTTCTCTCTCTTAAGCTTCCTTGTGAGCTAGGCACAAGGGACGTGCCTTCATCTCTTATGAGAGCCCTCCAGTGTCACAAGATACATTTCTGCACCGTGTTGCATCTCACAATTGCTTCTCTCTCTAGATTATTTGCTAATCATTGTTTTGCAGCAATCTTGTCTTCTCTATTATTTGAGTAATAGGTTGCTCAAAGTATTTGAAAAGAATGCTAATGCTAAGGACTTATGGGTTTCCATAAAAAAGAGGCACACCGATGATAATTATATTGCTAAATGTGATCTATATGAAAGATACAATATGTGTAAGATTAAAGATGATCAATCGGTGGTAGAGTATTTTGATGATATGAATATTATGGCCAATCAACTTGCCGGTTATGGTGAGCCCATAAGAGAGCATCAACAAAATATGAAAATTATAGAGGACCTTCCAAATTCTTGGAAAGCTTTGAAAAAGAACTTGCGCCATAATGGTACAATCCATACCTTGGATGACCTTAGAAGACATTTGAGGATGGAAGAGAATGATAGAATTAAAGAGAATGGTGAAAGAGCTAAAAACCAAGCTTATTTAGTAATGGCCAAGAAAAATGATAACAAAGTTCCTAATAAAAATTCTAAGAAACCTTTCCATCCTACAAGTTTAAGAAGTGCTATAATTGTAACAAGTTTGGTCATATTGCTAAATTTTGTACAGAACCGAAGAAGAAGAATATTGGACAAAGTAGTGGCTCCAAGGACTTCTCCTTTGTGGTTGAAGAGTCAATAGTG